TTCAAAGATGTTTTGATACAATTAGGATTACACAATACGTTGAAAGGAAACATTTCTAACATGGACAACGAGAAGTGGAAGGAACTAGATTTGTGAGCTTCGTGTATAATCCATATGTCTTTGGCAAATAATCCTGCAAATATTCTTGGTACATCGTTAACCAAAAAGCTTTGGGAGAAACTTGAAAGACTATATCAAGGAAAAGAGATATCAAATCGGTTGTTGTTGAAGGGGCAATTTCATCTAAGTGTTCTTAATGGTGTTGTTTCTGAATTAGAAACTATTAGACTAAATATTGATGATAAAGATAAAGCTTTAAGACTCATATAGTCTCTTCCATCTTCCTATGATCATATTAAATTTGTTTTAATAAATGGGAAGTAAACTTTGAGTTTTGAATAAGTTGTTGGTAAAATTATTTCTGAAGAGAGGAGATTGAAGGGTGATGATAATACTTCATCAAACTCAATATTGGTTGCTAGAGAAAGACCTTATGTAAAGAAAAATTATGAATCGAATATGAGATGTTGGAAATGGAAAGATTGAACATATAAAGTATAAGTGTCCTGATAGGGCAACATCAAAGAAGGGATCTGAGTCAAATGCTAGAAATATCTCTCTCGCAATGAGAGGGTGATCTTCTCTGAAAATTATGAAGTGTGTCCTCATGACATTTCTGTTGTAATGGAAAATGACGAGCTATTGCTAGTGGATTAACACATGAACATTAATGCAAAGTGTGTTGTGAGATTATGTCGATGATTGAAGAGCTTCCTACCAACATGGAAGTTGCAGCATAAAGTTTAAAACTGATTTTTGACATGTGAAATTTTTTGAAGTGGTTTAATTTCAAGTGAAGTATACACTTCTTTAGGTGAAGTATGATAGTTTTTAAAGCTATGATTGTCGGTGAAGACAATGTGATAAATTTTAGAATATTTTAGCTTCAAGTGATTATACTCTTTATGATGGAATATGGTTGTTGGTGAAGACAATGAAAGTTAATATATTATTTTCAATCAAGACAGATATTTTTGAGGTTGATTGAAAATATAAATGTTGAAGAAATTTCACATTGCTTAGTTTTGTGAAGGAAGAGAGAGTCTAAGACTATATATATGATTAAAGTTCTTCTAAGTCCCACATCACTTAGTTTTGTGAAGGAAGAGGGAGTCCAAGGTTATATATAGAATTTGAGTTCTTCATTAGAAGATGCATTAGTAAAAAACACTTTAAACTTGTATTTGAATTTCTTTGTCCTCTTATACCCTTGTATTAGTGTATTATGAGATGTAGTTAAATATTTGTTTTAGAGGGTCTAAATGTATTGGAGCCTTAGGTGGTTGAGGATAGTTTATGTTTGACAACCATATTAATCTCTTATGTTGTTATTTTATTCCTCTTTTTTCTCTATGCTTTATTTTTTTTCTCAACATTTTTGATACTTTTATACTTTTAAGAAATGTTGCTTCAAAAATTATTTTAATATCAAAGTTTTATATAAAATATAGGGTTAAATATGTTTTTGATCATTATAAATATCTAAAATTTGACTTTCTGTCCATATGAAAAATGTCACATTGTAATCCTATAAAATTATTTAGGGTTAAATATGTTTTTAGTCCCTATAAATATGACATCCTTCAATTTTAGTCCATACAAAAAATTTTGTCGAACTTTGGTCCTTACAAAATATTTCGTCATGAGCTTTGGCCCCTCACATTAGATTGCTCTAACGGAGACTGGCGTGTCTCATTTTTTCGTTGAAACATGGACTTTTTTTTACTGAACGCCAGCGTGAATTCTTTATATGTAACTCTCTATCATATACACCCTTTCTCAGTTGTTCAATTTTCAAGTTTATTGCCAAGCCCGACCACAAAACTCTAAATCCAAGGTTGTATGTCCCATCTATTCCTAGTGGTCCCAACATCAAACTTCTAGTTTGTGGTCCCAAAATGATCAATCATGTGGACCTTGTTCCCTCATATCAACTGCGTGGTCCCAGGTTTGTATCCTTGTTAATGCTTTTTTGTGTGATTTTGTAATGCTAGTGGTAGATTAACAAACATTAGCTTGTATAGGACAAAGATTCAAGCGTAAACTATAACCCTAATTTTTACTGATTCACTTGCCTGAATTTCCACTGAAACCGTATTATTAGTGTATATTCTACTGTATTTCTTTGCCCTAATTGAATTTGGGTATATTTACCATATAGGATATGACAACATTTAAGATGATTTTCTATACAAGGAGTTGTTTCGTAAAAGACCCTAGCCTTAAATATGATGGTGGGGAAGTGTATGCCTTTAATAGCTAAGATCCAGAGTATTTCTCATTCTTTGAAGCCTGTGACTTAGTGGAGTTGGTTCATCAAATTGCTGTTGGAGGACATTGGTGATGACTGATGGTGTTTCATTTCTGATCAACAAAAGGTAATGTACATCTTACTAATTTTGTTTTTCTATTTTGCTAATGCTTTTACTAAATTATTTGATGTATTGATATGATAGGGTCTTGTACAAGTGATAAGCTAAGAAAGTTGTTGCTATAGGTGTTCAGAAAAGACAAAGTGACAAGCTAAGGACTTCCTCATCATGCTCTCATTTTTATTCAATTCTTCCTCTAACCTTTCATAAACTGTAGTTCCTTGAACAATATCAACATCCCAGATAAATAGATTACAAGTATCTTCATGTTGCCATAACGAACATCTCCAAAACAGACGACTTTTGTTATGTCCATTCTTACAGTGGTACGAAATCAAATGCGCATCACATGCACACCTCAATGAAGTACGACTTGTGGATTTATATGAAGTTGACTTGCTTCTCCTTGAAAAAGATGACATCGTCGGTCGCGCAGAACAATTGACGAATTACTGGGTTTAAAGAAGTAACCGAAGTGGGTTAAAGAGAAGACGAAGAAGATTTGAGTGAAAAGGATTTTGACTGGATAAAATCAAATCTAGGATTGCAACGGTACCTCTTGCTATTTTATTGAAAAAAAATCTTACGTGTAATAAAAATTCACAGTTGACATGACACATCATTCTCCGTTAAAGCAATCTAATGGAAAGGACTAAAACTCATGACAAAATATTTTATGAGGACTAAAATTCAAAAATAAATAAATTATAATAATTAAAATTAACATATTTAATCTAATTATTATACACTATAGAATATCTAATAAATGGTTGACGTTTTCTTCCCCAATCAACAATCAACTATTTGAATATGCTTGAGATTAAAGTACTTATTTTGATTTATATCTATGGTTTGAATTTTGAATATAATTTTAAATTTGATGTTTGTTATCATAAAGTTTTGTTACCCTTTTAAAATCCAATTTGTTGCCCGACGTGAATTGATATTATGTGTTGTTGGCGGGTTCGATGTTTCAATGAGGGATAGTAGAAGTTTGTTTATTAATGGGAGTGAAATTTTGTTGGCGTTTGATAGTTAAAATAAGCTGGTGGAGTACTTGAGGACTTTGCTCAGTATCGTCTATCGTATCTCACAGTCACCGATCTATCTCGTTCTCCGTACTCGATCAACTGAGAACTCCCAGTCTCCGATCGACTTCGTTCTCTGTCTCCGATCAACTTCATCATCCTTTATCTCCGATTGACATCATTCTCCTTCATCTCCGATCGACCTGTCTTTCGCATTCTTCTATTGAACTCATCAACCTCCTCAGTCTCGAATCAACCTCTCCTTCTCTCTGTGTCTTATAGATCTACGTTCTATTCAAATTTCGGAGCGATCTTTGATCTCAAGTCCTAGCTCTAAACCCTAGGTTTAAGTCATCACTTGTGTATACTACTCCGGTCATTATTATAAGTAAAATTCTCTTGTTTACTTCATTGAATAATGAATGTATTTGATCTTTAGATAGGTCAGATATCTACGTTAATTTAAAAAAAAAATATTTATCGGAGGGAGTACGAAGCAATTCAACCAAGTGTTTTTTTTTTTGCTTTATTTTCTCTTATACTTCAATTTCTGATTTCAATTTCAGTCTCCTTTTTTTCTCATTTTGTTTACTCTATCACCAATGCAATCTTGAATTTTTGAATTCTCATAGAATTTGAAATCTCATTTCGTTTCAATTTTAATTTCCTCTTGTATTTTCCTCGGATTTCCTATTTTAGAGTGTTTTTTTTACCGGTAGACGAAGTGGTCATAACCTAATAATATCGACTTTGATAGTTGAGCTAGGATTTGCGGTTCTATTCTAGAGTACTTAATGTCTTCAGAATTGTTACTAAATTTGTGATTGCACATAATTATTTATGAGTTTATTGAGTGGATCATGTAAAATTCAACTACATTTAAAAGCTACAACTAAAAGCTTTATTGAATAGGCCTTCAATTCATATGTGTATCAATTAAAAGCTTTGTTGAATAATTGCCTTCATTTCATATGTGTATCAGTTATAAGCTTTATTGAATAAATGCTTTTAATTCATATTTATATCAGTTAAAACAGACTTGAGTATATGAAAGTTGAAGCCTCTGGTTTAATTGAACTGCAAGAAAAAATGTAATTTATGTGTCTCTGGTTTGAGAACAATTTGATATTCTTATTTGTAGATAAGTTCATTTATCATTTATATTGTAATGATTTATAGAGAGATGCTTGTTTCAATTGTATTATGTCCTTTGTGTGAGGATATATTTTTGTTGGATAATCAAATTCTTGGATTATTGACATATAGATAGATAGATACTTGTTTCATATGCTGTAAATTTTAGAGAGATTGGAATTATTAGACTTAATGTGAGTCCTATTAGAAATGAGGATCCTACTGTTTTTAATTCACTACTTTTGTGTTTTGAGAGCAGGCAAGTGGCTTCTGAATGGTTGGTGATACAGCCGTTTAAGCAATGCAAGAGAGCAAATTGGCTAGAAGCAACAATAGCAACGATGTGGATTCATCGAATGATGTGATACTTTCGGTTGAGGAGTACTATCAGCTTACCAACACAAGCTCACGAGGCAGAAGAAGTCGAGAGCGCTTGAGGTATCTCTCCATTGAAGAAGTTGTTTGACAAGGCCAAAGACTCGAGATTCTTCAAATTCCCCACAGATGATGGTATATGACCCATAAGTGCATTATGTGACAAGTTCAGACCATGAAGTGCCTTGAATTCCATTAGCTCGTTAGGTATTGGCCCCTCCAAGTAGTTGTTTGACATGTCCAAATAAGTGAATTCCATTTGAATTTTGGAAAGCTTCATCTGCTGGCCTTTGTAGACAAGAATAACCGAATCTTGATAACGACAGAGATCCACTGGTTTAGATTCAACTATCCCTTGGTCAATGAAAGAGCTGGACATGTTTGCAACAAGTTTAACCAATCTCGTTGCAAGGTTAAAGACAGAGGAAGGAATATGTCCATGTAAGTTATTGCCTTTCAAATCAAGCATCTCCAATACAGGAGACGATGCATTATCAAATTCACCCAAGAGACCATCAATTAATGCTGAATTAATGCTGGCAAGATTCATGAGGCCCTCAAAATGGTTGGATGGTAAATCCCCGCTCAAGTGATTGCGAAATAATGATAGATATTTGAGGTTTTTGGACATATTGAAAGAAGGGAGTGGACCTGTGAGGTAATTGGAGGACATGTCTAGATAATCAAGTTGGGTGAGTTCTGACATTGAACTCGGAAGTGTTCCGCTAAATTGGCAGTAAGATAGATCAATGGTTGATAACTGCTTCAGGTTTGAGATAGTATTTGGAAGTGGTCCTGAGAAATTTGTATTGGCAAGATTCCTGTAGTGAAGAGATGCAAGTGGTGGGAAGTCTGGCAAAGAACCATCAAGATTTTGATTGTATGATATGTCAATGACCTCCAATGTGTGTATTTGGAAGATGTCTTTTGGGAAAAATCCATTCAAACTACAACTACTGAGATGTAGGATGGTTAAATTGGAGAAATTTGCAAAGGAATCTGGCACTATGCTTGACAAATTAAACTGAATGGTATAAAGAAAAGCCAGAAGATTGTGTGTGGTCTCATAGTGAATTATGAGCAGTGTGTGTCTAATGGTTTGAGAATGATGGAGTAGTGTTATGCTAATAACGTACCTTTTTCTCTTTTTATAGACTACAGTATATTAGATTGCATGCTGCTAAATATTGATTTGATCATTCAGCCCTATTTCACACGTAATTAAGTCTTCTTGGGACCGCTCATTATAGTCCAACAAATTTATGTCCTATCATATTTTTTTTTTTGGAGTTACATAATGACTTGGTCTCATTGCCCTATGTATTGTCATTTAGGTTGAGTTATATAATGTTTTTATCTTTATAAATTTATTATTTTTGTTTTTAGTTTATTAAATTCTTTTCAATATTCTTTAAATATTGGAGAAATTACAAATATTTTCCTTAAGATTTATTAAATGACACTGACACTCTCTAGTTTTAAATATATTCTGATTTTTTCTAAATTCTCAATAAATAGACAAATATCTCTCTTCTTCGATAATACTACAAAAAATCAATATGCCTATGTGATCTTATTGGTTGATCAGAACCTACAAACGGGCTGAAGGATGATGTATGGTTTGTTGGAAAATTGAGGAGAAATGGGGGTTATACCGACAGGGCAATCCAACGATCAAGTAAGAATGGGTGCAAAGAGATACAAAAAAGATATTAGGGTTTTAGGTTTGAATATGGATACCTGGCCCTCACATGTGTGAGGGTTTATATAATGCCCCCGGCGTTTGGCCATTGGTCCCTATTTTTGAGCCTATATATGCGGGTCTGTGAAAATAGGGACGATGATTTATGCTCGTGACATTATCGAGGAACTATTTCTTCCGAGCAATTTGAGCATTGTTCTCTGTGTTCGACTCGCGGGGAGAGGAACAATTGATTGAAGTCTGAAGAGTTAGCGTGTCACGCGTGCCTTAAGTCGTGTGTTGTCACAGCAGCATAATGATGGTTATCCTAGTGAATAGGGTGTAATGATGGTGATCCCTAGGTCTCCTAGGCGTGTGCTTGCTCACGTGCTAACAAGCAGTTTATAAAGGGGGAGAGGCATCCTCATTTGTATTTTTCATCTGCTCTTGTTTTGCTCAACTGGCATGTTCCTACTCGATGTTGCTTCCCAACGAAGCTTTTGTTTGCTTCGCCGCTTGCCACCATAGATTTCCATTTGTCACCACCGTCACTCATTTTAATCCAGTAAGATTTTTTATTTCCTCTTCCTTTTATGAGGTTCACATTTGTTCTAGGTTAGATATTCCGTTTATCGTATAAATGCATGTGGTTAGGGCTAGAGTAGTGAGAAAATCTTCGGCGGAGTGTTTGTGTTAGACGGTGGTTCAGCCGTGTGAAGGCGTCGATGTTGTTGCAGACCCTTCTAGGAGGTCCTGAGCCACGACGGATGTTGACGATCTCTCCGGCGAAGTTATGCCATTTTTGGGTTTCTTTTATGATCTTCGTACATTCTTGATGAACTTCCTCGGTGATTGGGACTTAGTTGTTGGGGGGACGTTGCCCCTGAGATTTTAGGTTTCGACCCATTTTAGGCACCTAACACATTCGAGGGAGACCATCGTCGTGCCTATTTCTTACTATTGAGTGAGGGCTCTGGTCGGGGATAGGGTCCTCGTTCCTTCGCGCCCTTTCACTTGATTAGCGATGGAAGGGTGAATTTGACTCTGATGTCAAACTCACTTTTGTCCTTTGATTTTCAGGTACAATAGGTAATAGTGTTGAAGACAAGTCTTTAAACGAGCCCATCGGTTCTGCTCAGAGTTCTACCGAATATGCATCTACCGAAGAGAGCGCCTCAAGGATGTTTGAGTCTGGACCAGGCGTGTATAAACTGGGCTCTCCTGATCAGCATTCAGTCGAGGAGGATACGCTCATGGCTCCTGTTGGTGAGGTTGGACAGAATGCGCCCGTGGTCGCTGAGGATCCTCTAGCTTGGGTTTCGCCAAGCCCTAGGGAGCATGCTTTCTTTTTTATCGAGCATTCAGATGAGGTGTTCCTGACAGTGGCTCTAGAGCCCGAGGGTACTGAGGAGGAGTGGTCGATATACATTCCCACGCAGAGTCACCGTATATGCTATAAATTTGATGTTCGACAACTTCCCTTGTATGACATTGGAGAGGTGGGCTTTCGGCTTTCCTTTACTGATTTCTAGGTGGCTATTTTCCGACATCTGCGTCTGGCTCCATCGTAGCTGCACCCCAATTTGATTTCCTTTATATGTACTTTCAAGATTGTGTGCAACCATTTGAAGATAGAGGCGGCAATTTTCTTGTTATTCAACTACTTCCATCTTTAGAGGAGCATGTTTGGTACTCAGTTCAGATGTGTTTCTTTAAAGCAGGTGAACATGAAAGTGTTCAAGGCCTACTTGGAGTCTGTCAAACTCTTCAAAGATAGGTATATTTTAATCTAGCCCGTGTCAGAGAGGGAGTTGCTGAATGTTTTTAGGAGTTCCCCATTGTTTGATGAGGACATGGGTCGTGTCCTGAATGCGGATGAGGAGAAGATGATGAAGTTGGTACCCAAGTTCCATTTTCACTGGACAAGGAAGCACTATGATAAGGGGGTCGACATCTATGTTTGGAACAAAGGTCAGCTTGGTTCTAAGGATGAGGCTAGTTATAACCGTTTTATCCGCCTTCATTATGGGAAACCCCCAGTCTAGCGTGTGGACAGAGGGGGAAGGTCGATTGTCGACAAGGATGGGAAATTGGTTTATGAGGAGCTCCTCGAGAGCGAGGATCCTATTGCGTCTCTGGGTAGTTATCTTGTATTTCGATTAAATTTATATCCATGGCTTATTGTTCATGTTTGCTGAACTCAATTTATTGTTTCTTGTAGAAAGAATGAATCTCGCTGCTGAGCGCATGGCTAGAGCAGCTATCCTGAACTCGAAGAAGGTGCAAAAGTATGTCAAAGCCTCTCTAGGTGATACGGGGACGTCTCCACAGTCGACTAGTCCAGAGGCCGGGTGTTGTACCCCAAAATTTTCCCTCTCTATTCTTAAGACATTTCTCACAAAAGATCTCAAATGCTCAAGAAGTTTCAAGAGTTTGATCAGACAAGTTCACCTCCTAAGCACTGAGCCCACAAATTAGGGTTTTGGTTTTCTCAAGGACAATTGGACTTTTGATGCCTCAAATGAATTTCATGGCTCATTATAGGTCTCCAAGATTTCTTATACCAAATTTTAAGTCTTGCATCACAAATTTGCTCAGTCAATTGCTTAGATGATTGAAAATCAACTGTATTGGGTAAAAAGTCAACTACAGTTAATATACAGTCAAACTTCATGATTTTTGGTCAACATCAATATTTTTAAGTCATATTCATCAATTGATCAAATGTTGATCATAATTCTTTAATAAAATCACTCAAATCATAAAAGTGTTGATCAAGTGTTTGATTATGAGCAACTTTTTTTATCGTGTTTCGAACGGATTGTTCGTGAAAGTCTTGATTCCGCTTCTTTTTTGACTGAACCGATTGCATATTTGAGTTCTTGTGCATGTTTATAATTTACCGTGAAAATCTCATTCCGTTCCGAGCATATTTTTTCGGACGCCTATTTTCCAAAACGCGTTTTACACTGTAATGTAGAATTTTTTCTAACGCGGTTTTAGTGCAATTTTTTTACCCTTTTAGTTCAGAATTTTAGTGCAATACCATTCGATGCATGCTTACTTGTTGCGCTTCACTGGTTGATCATCGGATTGGTTTTCATGCACTTTTCATATCGTTTTGCCTTGTTATTTTTTTGACATGTTTGTTAATGGTGCAAGGTACATTGTGGCGTTTCCAATCATATACCAAAATGGTGGTTATGTGATTGGGAAACACTAGCTTATGCTTGCTTCCAATGCTACACGCTTTCATTTCTCATTCCATGAGAAACGCTTATTACTCATATTGTGTTATATGATGTCCGGATGTGTATAATATTTTATGATGCCTTGCAAGAACATTGTCATGTGTGGTACTTCTATGGCACACATTCACCTTAGTTGGATTTATTTCAAACTGTTTGTTTCTTGGTGAAGCTTGTTCAACGGGTACTCCTTGCTTCTCCATTGCTTTCGTTCGCTTTCGATGATTTGCTTGCTTTTGGTAGTCGCCGCTACTGCTTTTACATTTCCCCGCACTTTATCGCATCTCTTTACCGCTTTTTAGATATCATAAGTAGGAACTTTACTGCTTTCTGATGCCATGAGAAGTAGAAATAGAGATGTATGACGGGGGTCTTCATTGCCTATCATGTCAGGAACCCCTCTGGTTTATTTAAAGACCCGTTTAGGGCAATTTTACTATGTTTGCCATTGTGTTCTACTTGTGTATGGTTTGTTTAAAACCCTACCTTTGTGTAGGTATTTTGCAGGTGTGTTTCATTTGTGCCCGTATTATTCCCCCATCCCTTATTGAAGTCCTCAAAAGGAGGAGAGTGGAAAAGGGTTAACAATCAACCCCCATAATTTTGTTTGTGTCATCCTTAGCTCGTGACGCACCATGATGCTTCGAAGTTGTTCCTACTCTTATTATCGAAACGTCAAGTGTAAAAGGGTTTTGCAATCGAACCCCCACACTTTGTCAGGAGTTCTCTTTGGACATCATGTTTTTGTTTTTCATCTCACTCCCGCTTGTTTGTCTCGGGTGATACGCTCCCCTTGACTAAAGCATCTTTCTTCTTTTCTTTACCTTTTTATGTGTATGCTCTTTCGAGCTTGTTTGTTCATTTTCTTTCTATATCATGTTCCCTTAGGACGTGCTTGTTCCTTTCGGATGCAAGATAGACATTAGGATAGGTATCCATGCATGCTAACATTAGGTAAACGTTTCCCTTTTGTTAATCCAAACTTTAGGACTACCATTGTATGATAACATTAGGATTAGGAATAGTGTATTCTTCCGTAGACTTTTTTCTTCCCCTTTTGCATATGCATTAAAACTAAAACTTCTTTTTTATTAGCAAATCATAAAACATGTTAATCATACTTAAACCCTTTTTCAAGGTAACAAAACACAAACCAATCAAATGTGGTATCTTGCCTTGAGGGCGTAACTCAAGACCATTTTCAGATAAGGACATGTTAATTTACTTTTGTGCCAACGCATGAGTCTCCAAAGGTCGAGCTGCAGTAGAAGGAGGAATTAACATTGTTCATAAAAAACACAAAACAAACAAAACATGTGAGCCGAACTATGGCAACTTTGATTCCTTAAAAAGGATACGTAGGCATTGAGATAGGGTCCAAGCGAGCACAACTTTATTTTCCCTGCATTATTTTCTCTTTTCTTTTGGATGCATTCCTTCTCAGTAGTAAGCAGTAAGCATAGTTTAGACACATACATAAGATAGATAACAAGAGTGGATACCGTAGAGTACTACAGACGTGTGGGGTGCTAATACCTTCCCCTCGTGTAACAGACTCCCTTACCCGATCTCTTGGTCGCAAGAACGTGACTTCTCCCTTCTCAGGTTTTCTCAATGTTTACCTTTCTCTTCATGTGGGATAAAAGACGTTCGATAGCGACTTCATTGTCTGGTGATTTTCAGCCGGTTGTTTCACCTGTGTATTTTCTCTTGACCCGACGCTTTTATTGACAAAACACCATTTATAATAAAGGGTTAAAATATAAATTTAATAATAATAATCTATTAATGATGTTAGTAAGACAAAAAATTGAAATGGGCCAGAAGCTTAACTATTGGGCCACTCATCTAAAAAACAATGCACATCTTCCTTTCTATGCGTAAATGAGCCTTCTGACACACACACACACACACACACACACACACACACACACACACACACACACACACACACACACACACACACACACACACACACACACACACACACACACACACACACACACACACACACACACACACACACACACACACACACACACACACACACACACACACACACACACACACACACACACACACACACACACACACACACACACACACACACACACACACACACACACACACACACACACACACACACACACACATATATATATATATATATATATATATATTGGGCTTTAAACAAAAATAATTATTTTATACACTCTTCGACTTAAATGGGCCATTCTGATTTATAAATGGCCCGAGTTGTTTTCTATCGAAACCTAGATTAGATTACTTTGAAGTGTTTGCGTTTGTAGCTAGACATGAAACAATCACATTGGTGATTGCTATAGCTGCTAATAGAAATTAGTCTCTGATGGATCTAGATGTGAAATCTGTATTTCTGAACGGTCCGTTACAAGAAGAGACATATGTGTCACAACCTCATGGATTTGTAAAGAAGAACAAGGAAGGGATGATGTAGAGGTTACATAAAGTGTTGTATGGACTGAAGCAAGCTCCTAGAGCTTGGAATCTAAAAATTGATTCATTTTTCAAGCTGCAGGAATTCAGAAAGTGTGAGATGGAGTATGACGTTTATGTTTAACATACTTATCAAAGAAATATGATTCCGGTGTGTCTATATGTTGATTATATATTACTGACAAGGAGTTGTTGAGATGAGCTAGTCAAGTTCAAGAAGGTGCTGATAAATGAGCTTAAGATGACTGCTATGAGAAATATGGTATATTTTCTAGGGATGGAGATTTTGTACTCTAAATAAGGTATTATTTTACATCAACTGAAGTATGAATTTAAACTTTTGAATAAATTTGAGTTAACAAGTTGCAAGTCTGGAATCACACATTTTGAGATGAATCACAAGCTGGATTCTGATGTTGAGGGTAATGATCTAGATGCTACAACTTTTAAACATTTGGTTGGCTCATTGAGATATATGCGTAAAAATAGACCCGAGATTTGCTATGAAGTATGAATGTTGAGTAGGTTTATGAACAAATCAAAGTGGTTAGATTACCAAGTTGTTGTCAGGATACTGAGATACATTAAAGGGATTCTAAGGTATGGAGTGTTATTCTCTTCTGGTGTTAAAGCTCACTCAGAGCTGATATGCTATTCAGACTCTGATTGGTGTGGAGACAGAGTTGACAGAAGAAGTACTTCTGGATATTTTTTCAAGTATTTGGGAAGTCCCATTTTTTGGTGCTCCAAGAAGCAAAATGTGGTTACGTTGTCAACTTGTGAATCTGAATACATTGTAGGTGCTTTATCTGCGTGTCAAGTTGTTTGACTGATGAATTTATTGCAGGATCTAAAGATCAAGGTGAAGAAACTCGTGAAGCTTATGATGGACAAAAAAACTGCTATAAGCCTTCCAAGAATCCAGTGATGCATGGGAGAAGCAAGCACATTGACACGAAATTTTATTTTCTAAGAAATCAAATCCAGAATGGAGTGCTATAAATTTTGTATTGAAGCACTCAAAAACAAATTGCAGATGTTCTAGAAAAAACTATCAAGAATGAACACTTTGTCCATTTGAGGAATGAAATTGGTGTTGTATATTTTAGTTACTTGAACATGAATTAAGAGATGATGTTAGAAGTAATTCATGATCAGAAGGTCTTGGTTCAGAAGGTTCTCTGACTGAGAAGTAGAAGTTTCTGAGGTTGTGTTGTTGTTCCAGAAGTTGTGTCTAAGCTTCTGGATTTAGTAGTTGTTTGTCCACGTGGCAGTTAGCTTTGTTTAGCATTTTAGCAGTGCCTACATGACAACTTATCCTTTGTGTATTTAAACAAATTTGTAGCTAATTTTTGATAATGCAATCAAAAAAGTTTCTCTTTTCAAAAGTTTGTTATAATCGTTTTCTCTCTATTCTCTTTCCCTCTTTTCTTCCATCTTTCTCTTCATCTTCAACCTTGTGTTCTAACAGATTGAGTCTCTACAAAGATACCGATTGAAGATAGGAAAACTGATTTGGTTTTAAATTGCGGTTGTGGTCATTGAAGTTGTTGCGATGCACATTGTAGCCATTACGTATGATGTGATTTCTAATGGCGGCTAGAGACTTGGTTTTAATTCATATCGCAATTGCGATCTGATGCGGTTGTGGAAACTACCGCAATGGCAATATTGTTGTTGCAATTGCAGTTACACACTGCAATTTAAAACCATACTTCTGATGTGAGTTTTCTTGACTTCTTGAGTTTCCTTCAATTATTTAGAGTTTAAGGTGAAACATATCCAACAAAACACAAGTACAACCGTTATATGAAATAATTGTGCAGCCAGAGTAAAAAGTGCACATTAATTAAACACAAACACAATCAAGGCATCATGATTAACAACCCTCAAATTTTATTACTGTCGTATCTGTAACATACATTCCTTATTTCACCTTTTAAAAACACTCTACATGTATATATGTATATGACACAATCCACACAATCCTTATTTATACAATAATGTGTGTAAACAAACAAAAAAAAAGATTATAATAGAAGCCCAAAATCTAGAAAACCAGACATTATTGTAGCTACAACATCAAACCTGAGTACAACAATTAGTACCTCCACCTCAAAATTCTATACCTCTTCCCTTCATGATGTTCAAACACAAAATCAAGCTGTGGGATGATCCTGTATAGCATCACATCTATATGTTTGGAATACCACAACCTCCATTTCTTCCAAAAAATAAGGGGGAGTATGAAAATTCCAAAACCAAAAATACATCCCAACTCCACACTTAAGAAGTTCCAATCAATGGAACTCTCATCATGGGATTGAGAAGTATTAGATGCTGAAGGTGGCAACTTATTTCCTCCATCATTGCTGCAATAGTTGCTCAGTGGAGGTCCACATAAGCCTTCATTACCTTCAAAAGAATCTACATCAAATGATTGAATTTGAGTACCAGAAGGAATTGGCCCAACTAGGTGATTGAAAGAGAGATTCATATATGCTAGAAAAGATAGAGTTGAAAGCTCTTGAGGAATCTCTCCTTTCAAGGAATTGTTTGACAAGTCCATAGACTCGAGATTCTTCAAATTCCCTATTAGTGATGGTATATGTCCCACTAATGCATTGTGTGACAAGTTTAGAGCATTCAATGCCTTGAATTGCATTAACTCATTAGGTATTGGCCCCTCTAAGCTGTTGCTTGACATATCAACATAAGTGAAGGCACTTTGAATTTTGACCAGCTTCATCTGATGACCTTTGTTGACAATATTAATCGAATCTTGATAACGAGAAATATCGATCATATTGTAATCAGCAATCGCCTCATCGATGATAGAGCGTGGCATGTTTACGTTTGGTATAAGTTTATATAATTTCATTGCAAGATATTTGTTCATTAGTGGTAACAATTCCTTCAAACTCATAGGGTGAAAGTTATCATCAATGTCAAAAAACAAATGGCCAAATTCTGGCCCAAGCAAGCCTTCATCACGCATCATTGCCTTCCAAGTGTTTAACAACGATCCTGGTATAGTGCCATTTACCTTATTGGAGGATATATCAATGATATGAAGCATTTTCCAATCACCAGTGCTAATTGGGCACCTTATAGACCCGTGAAGTTTATTAGACCTTAAAACCATGACTCTCAGTGTAGAAATTTTGCTCAAAAAACATGGAAATATGTCATCTAACTTATTTTTTCCAAGGTTTAGAACTTGTAGTTTCTTGCAATTGGCCAAAGATTTTGGTATGACACCATCCAGGAGATTGTCATTTAGATCCAAATATCTCAGTGCACAAGAATTAGGGGATATTGTGTCAGGGATATGACCTCGGAGCTTGTTTCCTCCAAAGTTCAACATCCTGAGTTTGCTACTCAATGCTCCAAAACACTTGGGAATCATCCCATCAAAGTTGTTGTTGGATAGATCAAGCAAACGAAGAGTTGAAGAATTGCAAAAGGATTCATGGATTTCTCCCTTAAAACTGTTGTTTGATAGAAATAGTATATCTATAAAAGGGAGATAGTTTCCAATGTCTGGCGGTATGATTGAACTCAATTTGTTGTTTGAGTAGTCCAAATGTATTGCATACTTCGGGATGAATGGAATTCTTCCTTGCAGTTTGTTAGAACTAAGATCAACTACAAGAAGGTTATAACTATTGTTCCAAAAACTTTCTTCAAAATTAGATAAATAATTTTTAGAAAGATTTAAGGTCACAAGGGATTCAAATTTCCATATCCAACTAGGTATTGGTCCTTCAATTTCGTTTCCAGATAAGTCAAGATATGCCAATTTGGATTGGTTTCTCAAGAAACTTGGGATTCCTCTTAACTTACACGAAGCCAGCTGAACATTTATCATCATTGGAAATGGAGAGAAGACATGATCGTCTCTGAAGTTGACATCAATGGACAAATTGTTATGTGAGAGGCCTAGTATAATTAAATTACTTAGCCTTCGAACGAGGTCCAACTTTATTGTTCCATTAAACCTATTGGAAGAAAGTTGAAGTACACGGAGTTCTGTAAGGGTAAAGACAGACATAGGAATATACCCTTGAAAGTTATTGCTACTCAAATCAAGCATCTCTAGTACAAGAGAAGATCCTTTGTCAAACTCTTGCAAGACACCACTGAATTTATTAAAGGGAAGCTTCAATTCTCGCAGATATGGGAGCTTAAGTAGAGATGAGGGAATGTTTCCACTGAAAGAATTGAATCCTAAATTAATGCTGGCAAGATTCATGAGGCCCTCAAAATGGTTGGATGGTAAATCCGCGCTCAAGTGATTGCGAAATAATGATAGATATGTGAGGTTTTTGGACATATTGAAAGAAGGGAGTGGACCTGTGAGGTTATTGGAAGACATGTCTAGATAAACAAGTTGGGTTAGCTCTGACATTGAACTCGGAAGTGTGCCATTGAATTTGCAATAAGATAGATCAATGGTAGACAACATTTTCAGGTTAGAAATACTATTTGGAATGGGTCCTGAGAAATTTGTATTTGCGAGATTCATGTGGTGAAGAGATGAAAATGGTGAGAATTCTGGCAAAAAGCCATTAAGATTTTGGTTTTCTGATATGTCAATGACCTCCAATGTGTGTATTTGGAAGACATGTTTTGGGAAAAAACCTTTCAAGCCAGCATTTGACAAGTTTAGATACCTCAAATTCTGCAGTTGATGCAGGTCTTGAGGAATCAAAGAATGGAAGTTATTGAAAGCCAAATTCAAGCTTTCTAGATAGTGCAGGCTGAAAAGAGCACTCGAGTCATTAAGTCCTTCCGAGATAGACTCACGACTAAGATCAAGGGCTATAACATGTCCATCTTTGCATCTCACCCCGGGCCACTGGCAACAATCATCATCACTTTGGTTCCAATGAACTAGCTTTGAAGATTTTGTGGGGTTGAATATCACATTGTTTTTCAATTGGAGCAACAAGGAACGTTCATTAGCCACAAAATGGTTACTGCTGAAATTTATTAAGCTGATTGGTATAATGAAAAGCCAAAAGATTATGTATACTCTCATAGTGAATTATAAGCAGCTGCCTTGAGAATGAGGAAGCAGTGTTGTGGCAATAACATGCCTTTTTTTCTCTTTTTATAGATTGCATGCAACAAGCGGCATGACTATTGAATTAACCATCCCAATTTCACACGCAATTAAGTCTTTTTGGGACCACATATTATAGCCAAAATATTTAATGACTCGGTCTCATTGTGGTAACTGTTGTTATTTAAACTTAAATATGTTTTTATCTTTATAACTCTATTATTTTTTATTTTTAGTTTTATTTTAATTTTTTTTTATTTTTAAATAATAGTCCATCAAATGTTTCATGTAATAAAATTTGACATCAATGTTAAATATGATATATGTGATGTTTTAAACGTTAAGTTAGTTTAATTGGTAGGAGTAGGAAATTCGATTAAAATAAAAAATAATAATAAAAAAAGCATATATAACCCTTCTGGCTACCAATTTATTAATTTCAAGAAAATTCAACTTTGACTAAATGTTAGAACCGACGTTGTGATGACATGGCTATTAGTCCATAACTTTGAAACCAATTGGGTCAATGGGAGGGGGTAATTTAACATAGGTTGAATTATGAAGGAGAAGGAATTTCATGATTACTGTATGGTGATTTGATTTCTGGGGCTAACTCACCACGCAAAAAAAGGTCATCGCAACCTATTTGCCAATGGCTTAATGAGGATGCATATCTCTATAGAGATTGTTACATGTCCCTAATACACGTAGGGGGAGTATTCATAAGAATACTTGTAATGGAATGTTGAATAAATTTTTCAATAATTGAATTGCTTCAATTGATTGTTGAATAAGGTGTTGAATGTAGGGGTGTTCAAAATTAAATTGGTCCAATAAAAAACCGCAAAATCGAATAGAATTAAATCGAAATCGCAAAAAACCGTATTTAATTCGGATGTGTTTGAGTCATTTTCTCACGGAACTGCGCAGTTCGGTTCGGTTTGTAGTTTGTATTTTACAAACCAAACCAAACAAAACCGCATTATGTTATAAAATCTTACTAACCAATATATATTTCTTTATTTCTTTAGAGAAATCAACATGTATTATGTGTGTATTTTATCATATTTTGTATTATATTTATTTTAATTTACAAATCATAAAAAAAATAAAATATTATTCATTTATAAATATTATTTTCACAAAATATATTTTTTCGTGTTCTTTGCATAATATTTATTTAAGAATGCAATCTTGTTTGTATCATTATTTAAATTTAGATGAAATTATAATACGCAATTTTATGTATCAAATTATAAACTTATTTTGACAATTATAAAATTTTTTATTATGAACAATTAAACACAAAATTATATTTTCCTCTATATCTGTATGTATGACTTAATAATTTTTTTTGTAAAAAAGCGAACCAATTGAACTAATTCAAACCGCATTAGTTTGGTTTGGTTTAATTCGGATTTATTTTTAAAAGCCAACCGAACCGCATGTTTTTTCTCTTGCGGTTCGATGATTTTTTGCTTCAAAACCGCCCAAACCGCACCGCGAACACCCCTTGTTGAATGTGACATGGATTAATTTGTGTTGAAAACATTCAACATGTTGAATGAGAAATGAGTGGGGACACTTATAATACTTTGCAAAATATAATTGGTTGTTGTGATTGTTTATATTTTTATTTCACCTAAATTATTTGGAGTCAATTATTTTATAGAAAATCAATTTTTTATTTATTTTTATTTTCACCAAAATTCATCATTTTTTTTGTCTATAAATAGAGTCTTGATTCATTTGATTTGGACAAAAAAAATCTATTTTTTCTTTCTAATTTTTATATTTAGCCTCCAATAAATTATTGTTTATAGCGCTAAATAACTTTTTAGTGAAATGAATCCCAACAATAACCCTCTTAACACCCAAAATTCTACTAATTATCCTTTCAACTACCAAAATCTCAATTATATATTTCAAAATCAATCTTCCAACCAACAAGATCCCCAAAATATATCAAATTTCATAATATCGTCATCTAATCCAAATTATCATCCATATTATGGATCTATGATGTCATATTCATCTCAAGCACCACCTTATTATTCTTCTACTCCAATGGAAAATGAAAATATTCCTAATGTTGGACTTGATGAAATTCCTGATTTTTCTACACAAACGGCTCTTGGTGGCATGAGTGGTGGTCATGGAGCCACTCCAAATGCAGAGGATTCAACTCCTGTTCGTCAGAAAAGCCCCAAATGGATCAGTGATCAAAATTTGGTTCTAATTAGTGGGTGAATTAAATATGGAAAAGACAGTGTTGTTGGGAGAAACCAAAAAAGTGATTCATATTGGGGTAAAATTGCTTATTATTGTAATGAGCATTGCTTATTTGATCCTCCCCGTGATGGAGCTACATGTAGAAATCATTACAACTACATGAACAAAATACTTAATAAATGGACAAGCTCTTATGATAACGCTAAGCGTATGCAAAAAAGCGGGTGGTCGGAGAATGATGTATTGGCAAAAGCACATGAATTATATTCAAGTGGTAAGAATGGACATTTCATTTTAATGTCAGAATGGCTCGCTCTCCGTGATCAACCATGTTATGATAGTCAGGTAGGAGGAAATAATGGATCTGTAGGTAGTGGATCTAAGAGAGCTCACGAGAGTGATGCAAGTGATTCCAACTCCGTAGAATCTAGTGATCGCCCAATGGGGAGGGATGCAGCAAAAAAAGGGTAAAAAAAAAGCAATGGCGCAGCCTTCGAATCAGCCAATGAGGAGTGGAATGAATTCAAACAATTTAAGGAGAAAGAGTTGGAACGATTGGACAAAATAGCCATGAGAAAAGAGGAAGCTAACCAATTGTTTAAAGAAAGTACTGAGACTAAGAAGATGAAGATGTTTATGAAGCTAAGTTCAAAGGAGCATATTGATGACCGGAGCAAAGAGTTATTGGAAAAGTTGGGTCGCGATCTGTTTGAAAATTAAATGTTGTTAAGTCATTGTTTGTATTTTGTTTCTTATCTACTATTTTCTATATTATCAAGTCTTTATCAAGTCATTGTCAAGTCATTGTTTATATTTTGTTTCTTATCTACTATTTTCTATTTTGTCATTTTGTTTCTTGTCTATTATTATCTATATTATCAAGACATTGTTTGTCACTTAGTTTCTTGTCTATTATTATCTATATTATCAAGACATTGTTTGTCACTTAGTTTCTTGTCTACTATTATCTATATTATCAAGACATTGTTCGTCACTTAGTTTCTTGCCTACTATTATCTATATTATCAAGATATTGATTTCTATTTTGTCATTTTATTTCTTGTTTACTATTACTTATATTATCAAGACATTGATTTCTATTTTGTCACTTAGTTTCTTGTCTACTATTATCTATATTATCATGATATTGATTTTTATTTTGTCATTTTATTTCTTGTCTACTATTATTTATATTATCAAGACATTGATTTCTATTTTGTCACTTAGTTTCTTATCTACTATTATCTATATTATCAAGATATTGATTTCTATTTTGTCATTTTATTTCTTGTCTACTATTATTTATATTATCAAGACATTGATTTCTATTTTGTCATTTAGTTTCTTGTCTACTATTATCTATATTATCAAGATATTTATTTCTATTTTGTCATTTTGTTTCTTGTCTACTATTATCTATATTATCAAGATATTGATTTCTATTTTATCACTTAGTTTCTTATATATTATTGATGTACAAATACCAAAAATATGATATTACTAATCTTATAAATGGAGACTCATTCTTCCATTAATGTACCAATACCAAAAATCTCATATTACTAAAAAACATCAATAGATCCTTCAGAGTTTCCCTTTGATATCGAAGCTTACAAAAGGCAGTCTGAAATCGAAGAGAGGTATATCGTCAGCCGGTTCAGGGAGCGACGAAACCAAATAGAGGAAGGATATACACTTAATGTTAAGAGAAAATATCTCAATAGAGATCATGCAGCAGTAAACCAAAGACTAATAGAAGACTACTTAGCAGACCAACCTACATATGACAATGCAATGTTTCGTCGGCGATTCCAGATGCGAAAATATGTGTTCCTTAGGATCATTGGGGAACTATCTAGCAGTGACAACTACTTCACCCAAAGAGTTGACACGACCAAAAAAGAAGGTATATCTCCATTAGCAAAATGTACCACGACCATGTGAATGTTAGCATATGGTGTAGCGGCCGATGCGGTTGATGAATACATTAAAATAGGAGGTACAACAACATTAGAGTGCTTGCGTAGATTCTGTAAAGGAATCATACAATTGTATGAGCCGGTGTATCTCAGAGCCCCAACTCAAGATGACCTGCAAATAATCCTACATGTTAGTGAAATGCGGGGGTTCCCGGGGATGATTGGGAGTATTGATTGCATGCACTGGGAATGGAAAAATTGTCCTACAGCATGGGAAGGTCAATTTACTCGGGGAGATAAGGGAACCACCATTGTTATTCTTGAAGCAGTTGCAACTTATGATCTATGGATTTGGCATGCCTTCTTTGTATGTTCGGGCACATTGAATAATATAAACGTTCTAGACCGTTCACCCGTGTTTGATGATGTTGAACAGGGAAAAACTCTAAGAGTGAACTTCTTTATGAATCAACGTCCGTATAATATGGCATACTATCTTGCTGACGATATATACCCTTCTTATCCTACTTTCGTCAAATCAATTAGACTTCCTCAAAGTGAACCAGATAAGTTATTTGCAAAATATCAAGAGGGATGTCGGAAGGACATCGAACGTGCATTTGGGGTGTTGCAGGCTCGATTTAAAATCATTCGCAAACCAGCCTGTTTGTGGGACATAGCCCATTTGGATCTCATTATGAGTTCATGTATCATATTGCATAATATGATTGTTGAGGATGAACGAGATACATATTCTCAATATTGGACAGATTATGATCAATCTGAGGCAAGTGGGTCTGGTACATTGGAGCCATTCTTGGTCGA